TGGCGTTGAAACCACCCTGGGGTCTAAATGGAATCTGGCTTTCCCCTTCACCCTCTGTACCCCAACATAGCCTTGCGCAGCTAATGGGCCCCAGCTGGGAACGGACGTGGGCAGCAGAAATAGGGGCCAGGGTCTGGCAGCCCCGGCCAGGAGGGGAATGTGACTGTTTATTTGGAGTGGCTGTGCCCCGCCTCTGAGGGAGTTCAAGCGGTCAGATGTGTCCAAGTCCATTAGAGAATTCTGACAGGGTGTCGCTGGGTTTGGGGAGAGAACCATCTAGTTTAAAGCCCCTGTTTGCAATGTCCCCAGTGCCCAATAGGCACCAGCCCCCAATTATGGTTTAGTGGAGGGCTGAGGTGAGAGGAGGTCAGGAGTTTCTGGAATGTGCTTTCATATGCTCCGTGGCCTGAGAGAGACCTCAGCAAACACATCGGCTCATCTACAAAGCTGCTCGAGAGGTTGGCGGGTCCTGCCCCAAAAGAGAGGAAATGCCAAATTCCTAAGACTTCCTTGGGGGCTCCAGGAACGGCAGGTACCGTGGACAGAGCCTGGTCTTTGGAGCCGCCGAACAAGTTCAAACTCTGGCTCTGCTGTCCAGTGCCTTACCTGAGCTGCGGTTCCTTACCTTCAGGTGGGAATTACAGGAAAGAGAGGAATGAGCAGCCTGGCCATCGTAGATGACAGTCCTGAGTCCACCACTAACCTGTGAGGCCTTTCAGTGTTCACAGGCACCAGTAACCCCAGAGGGTGACGTGGGGCTGTAAATTCTCACAAGAAAACTCAGAGGAGTTCAGGGACCGGCCTGAGATTGCAAAGGACCTAAAGGACTCAGTCCTTTCCATCTAAAATCTGTCTTAGTTTCCTGAGGCTGCCATGACTAATTACCACAAACTCAGTAGCTTAGAACAACAGTTACTTGTTCTCGCACAGTCTGTGGCTAGAAATCCAAAATCAACATATCAGTGGGGTTGGTTCTCTCCGGTGTGTCTGAGAGAGAACTCCTTCCAGATCTCGCTCCTGCTGGCGATGGGTGACCACGGTGTTCCTTGGTGTAGGGCTGCACTTCCATCTTCAAGTGCCCTTTACCTCTCTGTGACTCTCTGTGTCCCTGGACACTTGTCATTGGATACAGAGCTCACCCTGATCCAAGATGGTCTCATCTGTGCTTTACATCTGCAAAGATTCTTGTGCCAATGAAGGCCATGTTTGAGGTTCTGGATGACACAACTTTTGTCACCAATTCATCCCACAACGATCCCTCTGACTCCCATACACAAAGTGCTTTCAGCCCTCACAGCATTAATAACAGTGCCGAGTCGCATCTAAATCTCACTAGCTCAGAAAGCCCCAGATCTCATCATCAGCATCACCTGATTAGGCTGATGCTGCTCTGAGGCAGACCCATCCTGAGCCTGACCCATCCTGAGCCTCAGTCCACCTCCCGTGAGACTAGAAAACAAGCCATCTGCTTTCCAAATATGGAACCTGCACACGCATTCCCATTCCCAAAGGGAGAAATTGGAAGGAACATCGGGGGGCCCTGCTCCCAAGCAAGCTTGAATCCCAGCAGAGCCAAGTCCACTGGGTGTCTGGGCTCAAGAATGACCCCTGTGGCTTGGCAGTGAAACCACTCTGTGCCCCAGAGCTTCCACCAGCCCCCACCTCCAGGCTGGCTCTGGCCTCAGCCTTTGTGTCCAGCTCTGTGATTGGAAACCTTTTCCCTTTTCTTTTTTTTTTTTAAGATTTATTTATTTATACAAGATTTATTATTTTTTAAGATTTATTTATTTATACAAGAACAGGGGTACAGGTCAGATGCATGGGAGGGTGAGAGGATTCACCAGAGACAGAGCAGGGAGCAGAACAGGCAGACGGACCGAAGACACTGCTGAGGGGAGCAGCGGCAGAGACAGGAGAGGTCTGCTGTGCCATGTGGGTATCTCCCTGGCCGGCTGGGAATTGAACCCACGCTGCAGAGGCTGCGAACAGCTTCACAGCGCTGCGCCTGTGCCACCAGGGAGACCCCTTTCCCCTTTTCTTAAAGGACAATGCATGCTGGCGGTGAGTAGTACCCCCAGCCCACCTCCTGTAAGCCTCTCAGAAGCTGGGGTTTCCCCCTCATCTCGCCAGGTCTCTGTCCTTTACAGTGCAGGCTGACAGTTGTTCTGCCGATAGAACAGTCTCAAACACCAGTGGGTCTCTCAGGTATGGCACGGGGATCTGTGTCATCAGACAAGAGCCTTCTCTGCGGGTCCTTTTTGGACAAGCCCGCCTCTCCCCGGCCCTGTGGGATGTAGGATGGCGTCCACGAGTCGAGCCCCCATTTCTTCAGCAGAACGCTGTGTGGCCTCACACTTGGCCTCCTTCTCTACAGAGCATGTTTTCTCCAAGTGAATTTCCTAACTTGGGCATCCTTTGGAGTCAGGAAAGGCCAAGAAAGCTGCCAACATCAGGCGCCAGCTCCCTCTTGCTCACAACTCCTCCATTCATTCCTTTCCTCTTACATTTTACTACAAGCCGCGCCCTCTACTTTGCTTGGCACACTCCTCAGTCCAATATCTGAGCTCACGACTTACAAGTGTTGCCCTCCCCGGTGGAAGTTAGAAAGCCATACCAGGCGGGTTGAGCAGCAGGGTGGGGAAACACGGTGCAGGGAAGCAGGGGGAGCACTGCATCTGTATGTACTGAGCACCTGCCTGAGTCCAAGAGCCACAGACCAGTCACCGGGGTCCTGATCAGCAAGGTCCACCTTTAGAAAGATAGAAAGAGCAACCAAGACCGCAGAGCACGTTGCTGCTCAAACACTCCCGCCCGCTCACCGTGCTCTCTCTGCTCCCCTCCCCAAATCCCTGTTCTAGCATCGCAGCCACGGAATCCTGTCAGCAAACACCTCTGGAGCCTCAGGTAGCCCCCATTCAGCCCATATCCTACACAGTCCTCTTCTGATACCCCCTTCCTACTCCCAGCTGCTCTCCCAGGCTGCAAGCATGTCTTTCCCAGGGCCAAAGGAATGCTGGATCAGGGTGGTCCCTAGGGGTCTGCCTGAGGCAGCAGAGGGAATGGAAAGAAGTTTCGCATTTGATTCATTCTCTGTTCAGCTAACAATTAGCATGCAGTCGCTGCTATAATCTTAATTTTGTTAAATATAAGTTTAGTTTATTTTCATAATTTTGTACTTTATTTTTTTAAGATTTGGACTTTCAGTCCTTGGCACAACATGAATTTAAGTAGTCTTCCAGATGGCCTTCAGAGGAGGCCCTACAACAGTCAGGGAAGGAGGGGCACCCAGTCCAGTGTCCAGGGGAGGCCCTAAGACTAAGAAGGGCAGCACCTTGCCCCCCAACTGCTGACCCTACACGGTCAGCCTTGGGTCTATAACAGAAGCCTTTGGCTGGTCCTCCCTGGTCAGGAGATGCTTCCCTAGACGCCCGCCCCACAGGAGGAAGCAGCAGCCACTCCACCATAAAATGAGTGTGCAGAGACTTAAACCTGAGGTTTCCTTTACCTGGAGAGATCCAGTCATCCTCTACCTGAAATGCCCTCTATCTGACCATGCCAGGAATGGCCTAGACCAGCATGGCTGACAGAAGGGACAGGTGCCAGCAGTGACCCCTCACCTTCCCCTGGCTCAGGGCAGACACTGCCATCATAGCCCCTGCCCCCTGTATGGTGGTGAATTTTATGTGCCCACCTGTCTGGGCCATGGCACCCAGCTCTTTGGTCAAATATCATTCTGGAGGTTTCTGTGAAGGGGTTTGGGGATGGGATTAACATCTAAGTGGATGGACTTGGAGCAAAGCAGGTGACCCTCCATAATGTGGGGGGACTTGTGCGATCAGATGAAGGCCTGAATAGAAAAAGACTGAGATCCCTGAAGAGGGAAGGAATTCTGTCCTCTTCAGACTTGAGCTGTAGCTTTTCTGGGTCATCATCTTGCCTGCAGATTTGGGCTTTGCAAAACCTCACAACCATCTCAGCAGGTTTTTTAAAGTCCCTAGGTCTCTCCGTATGTGTACACACACACACACACACACACATACACACACACACACACGCACATGCACATATACACACACACACCCCCTTTAGCCTGTTTCTTTGGAGGACCCTGGCTGACGCACCCAGCGAGCGAGACATTCTCAGAGGCTGACCCTACACAGCCCTGCTGGAGCACACCTGCTGCACACTGCCCTTGTGCCCCGCAGCTGGTCCCCCACTCAGTGTGCAGACCGAGCATGTGTCTGCTGCCCTGACTCCAGGTCTTCTCAGGCCAGGAGAGCTATCCCAGACTCTGGAATTCCTGGTAAGGTCTTCCTAGTTCAAACCGCCCTTGTTCCTCACCCTTCGTTCCCCTGAAGGGGAAGGTAGGCAGAAACATTCTATGTTTTCTTGTACAGTAATTTAAAACTGTAAGAAAAGTCAGCTAAAGAAGGGAATTATCAAGGCCACTAGATAGCTTTTCAATCAGAGCCCGGCCAGCAGCAACCAGAGGTGGGGATGATGTGGAGACATCCATTGCCCCTCTTCTCGCCAGTCACCAGGAGTTAACATGGAACCTTCCAGGGGTCGCTAGGAGTGTGAGACTCATGGGGACATCTTCCAGATTACATGACTCTCAGGAGACCAGGCTCTAATTGTCTTTAATGTGAAATGCTTTGCTTAATGTGGCTAAGCAAAGGTAGCTGAAACAATTCCACGTGTGCCTGCCACCCAGTACCGGAGCTTGCAGAAAGGCGCTTCATACCCAGCAGCCGCACTTGCTGACCATGTGGCCCTAAGCCCCTGCCTCCTGTTTTATCTAGAACGGCACCCATCAGGGCTCACTGAAGCACACTGTGTGCCCCCAATAAACCGAGTTGGCATGAGGACGAGTGGTGGTTCTGGAACCCAGAATGGAACAGGGCAGGCAGCAGAGGCAACTGGCAGCCCCCGAGGCAAAGCCACCATCCCTCTCCCTTGCCATTAAAGAGGAACGAAGGCAAGGACAAGGTGAGACTGACCTTGAGGGCAGGGATCTCCACACTGTCGCCGAGGCTGACAGAGCCCGAGAGGATGGTGCCCGTCATCACAGTGCCTTGACCTCTGATGGAGAAACAGTGGTCCACGGACATGAGGAACGGCCCCGAGGGGTCTCTTGCTGGGATGTCGATCTGGGATGTCAGGAGCTGGAAAAGAGATGCTGGTGCCACACCTGTCAGGGAAGATGCTGAGGGCAGGGTGGAGAGGAGAGTAGGTGGAGGGGATGACAGGTGCCCAGCAAGATGGCTATGCTCTCAGCTCCTTCTCTCAGTGTGATGGAAAAGCTCCTTCTCTCAGTGTGATGGGATCACGGAGCTCTTCTCTGAAAGGAGCTTGCCCCCTCCCCTGGCAGAGGCAGCCTGCTACAGGACGCCCACACCCTTGGCCACATCCTCCCGGGGCCCGCAGGGTTGGGTGCTGTCATCTCCAGCCCCTTGGTACAGGGCAGGCCTTGCAAACCAGGCACAGCCACTGGCAGGCCCTGGCATCTCACCAGCCAGCTTCGCCTCACCCTCCTCCCCAGGCGACAGGCCTCTGGAAAGGCTTTTCTGCCCTTTTGTGCGGCTGTCATGCCCGCCCACCGCCACAACTAGCACATTATGGTGATGGTCTGTTATCCCCTCCTCCGGCTGGGAGTACTACCCAGTGCCCCCAGCTGCCTTGTGCCTGAGAGAAAGACCAGTGGATGGGGGGAAAGAAAGTATGTTGGAAGCGCGTTGGAGGGCAGGGCTGGTTCTGAGCAGCTGTCTCTTCTGGGTGGGGTGGGCAGGCTGAGGACCACTTCCCTAAGCCCCGGGCAGAGCCGGAGACCGCCTGCCAAAGGGCTGTGCTGCCCCTCAGTTAGTGCTTCTGCTTTTCTCTCGGCTGATTCTTTCCGGGACGTGGCCTCAACCAGCCCATCTCCGCAAGCCACCTCTGTGCTCAGAGAGGCTGTCGGAACTGATTACCAATAAACAAATGAAAACAAAGGCTGTAGGGTTCCTTTCCTTTTGCTACTTTCTGATTTTGTCAGGGAATAGGCTGTCAAAAAAGTATTCGATGGTGAATGTTCCAAACTCTTGTGATAACAATTCTTTTGGAAAAAGACTAGAGATTTAAACAGGCTTGGCTTCTTAAAGGAACATACAAACATCTTTCATAGCAGCATTTTTGTGGGTTTTGATTTAGCAAAAACAATTGCCTCAGGCTCCCAGGCCAGTGCTCCCTGGAGCTGATGAAAAAGTAACAGGTTTCACACAGAAAATGTTTGTCCTGCTAAGTTAGCAAGACCAGTGCTGCACAATCATAGAAACAGTGGCTGGCATGGTCCCACCTTATCCTGGCTCTTCAGATCCAGGTGCAGGTGGACCCCAAAGCCAACTCTAACAATCAACCTGGGTCTGCACCTTGGCTCCACCACGTACTTACTGTGAGACCTTGGGCAAGTTGCTTAACCTCTTTGATCTCAGAATCTTCCTTGGTAAAATGAGGATGAACACCTTTAAGCCTCACAAGGTCCCTGTGACAGATGGTGGCCATATAGCAAAGAACTTGGCAGCACCTGGCATGCACCAGCAAATGTCATGGTGGTGGCACAGTGGTCTGGCACTATCCCAAGCACACTGTATTTACTAACCCGTTTAACCTGCACACCAACACCACCAGGTAAGTGTTCGACAAGAGAAAGGAAGAAGAAAGACTTAAGGGACATGGACAGCTCTGCAGAGGCATGGGCTGGATAGCGAAGGCTTTATTTGGCTTAACTTTTTCGCAGGGTGGTGAGGAGGTTGTACTAAGGAGCATGGGGGGATAAGGGTAAAGGGAACCCCTTAAAGTCCTTTTCCTGGGGCTGCATCTCCTCCTTTCTCTCGGGACTAGCAAGACACCAAGGGACCTGACCTGGCAGGGATGGAGCCAGAGGCCAACCTAGAGTCATGTTAGCAGTACCTCAATAAGCTCTGAGATGCCCTGGGGAGCTTCTGTTTCCGGGGCCTCTGGTCCCCCAGGCTTGGCTGCCACAGGTATAATGGGTGCACCTCGGAACCTGGAAGGAAAAAACAAGTTCCATCACAGTCACAGAACTTGTCAGCAAGGACAGAGCATGTCTGTGGAGCACCTGGCAGCCCCAGCACGCAGCTGGCTCTCACCCTTTGCAAAGCACCTAGCAGAGAGCCACTGCTCTCCACCTGGCAGAGGAGGAAGAGGAGGCTCCAAAGGGAAACGCCTTGTATTGAACAGCAGAATTCAGAAGGGGGCTTCTGGGCCTTCACCTCCACTTTTAGAATCCATCCTGAGGAGGCAGCAGTGAACCTTGAGTACCAGCCTCTGAATAAAAGAGTCTCTTAAAGACGACCAATAAAGACACACTGGCCTCCTGGAGATGCAGGAAACACAGGTGACCAATGTGCCTGAAGATGCACCAGCAGGAATTGCCACCACGTCTCCCGCACCCTGCTCACACCCTCCCAGGAGCCTGTCTCTCTAGGAAGAGATTCTCACCATAAGCATACATTTATGTTCTCCATTAAAAAGATCTAGAAAACTTAAATAAGGGACTAGGAAAATGAATAACTATAAGAAAGTGAAAATCAAAATCAACAAAAATCTATGAACCAGAGACACTCTATGGGGGGGTAGAGGGTGGGAGGGGAGGGATTGGGGTCAAAATAAGGGGGTTGCAATTGTATGGGGAATATAAAAATAAAATTTATTATAAAAAAATAAAGATTATTGTCTGGCAAAAAAAATAAAATAAAAGTAAAAAGAATGGACAAGAGAAAACTGAATAACTCATTATTCCATCATTGTGGGGTACTTTCTTCCAGCCTTGGTTTTCCCAGGCATTGTCAAAGGATTGGTATTTTTTCTTCTTCTTTTTTTTTTAAGATTTATTTTATTTATACAAGAACTGGGGTACAGGCCAGATGCACAGGAGGGTGAGAAGATTCACCAGAGACAGAGTGGGGAACAGAACAGGCAGACTGACGAAATACACTGCTGAGGGGAGCAGCGGGCGAGACAGGAGTGGTCTGCTTGCCATGTGGGTTGCTCCAAGGCCGGCAGGGATCGAACCGGCACTGCAGAGGCTGCGGAAAGCTTCACAGCGCTGCGCTCAACCGCCTGCACCACCAGGGAGGCCCTTTCCTTCATATTTTGACAACAATACACATACAATTTCAGATCTCTCTAGTCTATTTACCATTATATCAAAAAGAATATTGTGCTGGCTGACAGCAACAGCTACAATAACTCACTTGGCTGCATCAAGCTTACAATCCAGACACACTCCTTGAGCCCTCACACTGTGGTGGAGTCATCACTATTCAGTTAGGACATGAGGCTTAGAGCTGCTAATTCATTTGCTCCAAGTCATTGCTGATAAATCCCAGAGCCAAATTCGAATCTAGCCCCTCTGGCCAAGACTGGCAATCAATATATTATACTCCCACCTCCTCAGACCTCCTCATTTATTTTTAACATCTGCATAATTGTATAACCCCAAATTTACATGTTCTTACCCCCAATGATACTTGTCTAGAGTATTTCAAAAATTTCAATTATAAATTACACTATAATAAACACATTGGTGGACATCACTTTTTTATTTTTTGCCTTGGCTTTGGAATAAATACACAGGGTATAAAATCTAAGACTACATCCATTGAGAATTCAATAGAATAGCAGAGTAAACACATTCAAAAAGTCTCTTCCAGGGCCTCCCCTGGTGGCGCAGTGGTTGAGTGCTGGGCTGTGAAGCTGCCCGCAGCCTCTGCAGCGCCGGTTCGATCCCCAACCACGGGGCAAGGGTTCCACATGGTGCGCAGACCTCTCCTGCCGCCCGCTGCTCCCCTCAGCAGTGTATTTCATCAGTCTGCCTATTCTGTTCCCCGCTCTGGCTCTGGTGAGTTCTCTCACCCTCCCGTGCTTCTGACTGTACCCAGTGCTTGTATAAATAAATAAATAAATCTAAAAAAAAAAAAAACAAAAAAGGAGCTCAGGCAAGTCGGTCTCTTTTGGAAAAAAAAAAAAGTCTCTCTTCCATAAAAGCAATTAGAACACTGCAAAAGTGATCAGAATCAACTTTTTAGAAATTTAGAAATTGAAAACTTGGAACAATCTATGAAATTCTTATTCACAAAAAATCCTGGTAGGAATAATAGAGCTTTGTGGTGCTTTAACTTGCCCTATTTTCATCCACCCTTCTGCAACTCTGCAGTAGCCTTAAAAGCCAGCATCTGCACAGTGGAACCCAGCAGCCTGACAGCCAGAGGCCCTTTCCCAGAGAATTGTCATTATTTTTCCTATCTGGTCGCTCCCTGGAAGACCCCCTTGCGAGGTCGTCTTTATTTGACCCGCTTTGGATCTTGTCCAGTGCAAACAGTCTTCCTCAGGGGCATTTGTCAAAAATAATGACAGGCAATTGTTTAACATCATGGTTGCCTGAGGCAGAGGATAATGGTTTTGGCAAACAACAGGCTGACCAAAAAACATAGAAGGAAAAACTTCCATGGGAGGCTTGGGAAAGTTCTGATATATTCCTGGGAATCTAAAAGGCATTACATGCAGGCACAGGACGCTTGGGCATGCTCAAGACACTGTACATGGTCAAGAAAGACAAGAGAAGGCCCAAGCACTCACCTCTGGCTGACCTTGAGGTTCAATGCAAATAGGAAGTGAAGGCTCAGGCAGAGTTGTCAACAGCATGCCTGAGCATTGAAAGTTTGCCCAACACACACATACAAACTCTTGGCAAAGAGTAAGAGACTTATTAGTTCCAGGCATTTACTTAAGGAAATCTCTGTCTAATCATCAGCTGACTAGCAAGCTAACTGACTTCAGTGGTCACACATGACTTTACAGAACTAGTTCACAAAAGTCACTTAACAAACAATAACAACAAACTATGGGAGTGTGGGGGAAGAGGATAATCTGATTTCCAGAACTGCCACATTATATTACTGAATATGTCCAGCTTTTAGCAAAAATTCACAATACATGCAGAGAACTAAGAGTATGACCCACACACAAGGGGGGGAAAAGGAGTTAATAAACTATTCCTGAAGAAGTCCTCTTAGGCAAAAAACTCTAGGTCAGTTATATTACAAATGTTCAAAGAAATAAAGGAACCATTTTTAAACCAAAGAAAAGAATGAAGATAATATCTCACTAAGTAGAGAAAATCAAGAGTTAGAAATTATTTTTTAAAAGAACAGAATAGAAATGAAGTTGAAAATATAATAACTGAAATGAAAAATCTACTACAGGAGTTTGATAGCAATTTGAGCAGACAGAAAAATCAACAAACTTGAAGATGGGTCAACTGAGATTATTCAGTCTGAGGAAATCAAAGAAAAATAAACACAACCTCAAAGACATGTGAGACACCATCCAGCTTAACATACATGTAATGAAAATTCCTAAAAGAAAAAAGGAGAAAGAATATCTGAACGAATTTCAAAGACTTCCTCAATTTGATGAAAAGTATTAATCTGTATATCTAAGGAGCTCAACAAACTCTAAGAAAGATAAACCCAAAGAAATCCACACCCACACACCACTGAATCTAACTGCACAAGGCCAAAGACAAAGAGAGAATCTTGAAAGGAGCAGAACAGTGACGCCCATGGACAAGGCACCTTCAACAAGATTAGCAGCTGACTTCTCACCAGAACCAAGGCAGCCAGAAGGGAATGCAATTATGTATTCAAAGTGCTGAAAGTAAAAAGTCAACCAAGAATTCTATAACCAATAAAAAACACGCTTCAAAAATGGAGACCACAGGGCCTCCCTGGTGGCGCAAGGGGTTAAACACCGCACTATGAAGCAATCCACAGCCTCATGCAGCACGTGTTCGATCCCCGGCCCACCAGGGAGAAACCCACATGGCGCGGCAGACCTCTCCTGTCTTGCCCGCTGTTCCCCTCAGCAGTGTATTTCAGTCAATCTGTCTGTTCTGTTCCCCGCTCTGTCTCTGGTGAATCCTCTCACCCCCCCGCATCTCTGGCCTGTACCCCAGCTCTTGTGCGCATAAATGGATAAATCTCTTTAAAAAAAATGGAGACCACAGAATTGCCGTATTACCCAATATTGCCGTATTACCCCAATATTGCCATATTTAGCATTTCCTCTCCTAAATATATACAAAAAATAACCGAAATCAGGTACTCAAATAAATACATGTGCATGTATTTCATAGCAGCAATATTCAAGGCAACGAAGAAGTAAAAATAGTCCAATGTCCATGAATATTAAGTGAGAGAAGCCTGGCTGCTTTGCTACAGATTTTTCTTCTCTTGGGGGAAAGACCCTTTAGCTTGACTCCTCACCACCACTTTCAATCAACACTCAACTTCTCTTTCCACTTATATTTCAAAACAAAACCATTTTTTGTTGACTGACCAGCTTAGGTCTGACTTCCTTAAATCACTTTTGCCTCCTTCCCTTTCAAGGGATATTTACTAAGCATCTCTTCCACGTAGACTCCACCGAGGTTGCACTGCCAAGGGCTGCAGAGCAATGAGGAGCTGGGGAAGAGATGGATGGCAGCAATGCTGCCACACTGTGAGGAACAGAGGAGGGACAGAGAACATTCCTGAAGGTTAACAGCAACTCTCCAGTGGTTGCGTTCATGTTCTTCCCTCGGATTCTCTCCCTTCGTGACATCCGACCCAGATGACCGTTCACCAGTCAACCCCATATCTTTATTCCATGACTCTCAACTGTCCTTCACCTCCTTGTGAGGCACTTTCTTGCTGTCCACTATCAGCCGCTCCCAGAGTGCCCTGCGCATGCAGCTCTTCCCTTCCCAGACTGCTGAGCTCCAGAAGCGCCTTACACTCTGACAGCTTTGCCAAGGTCCTCTGTAGACCATTCCCAAATCTCTGTCTTTAGTCAAGACCCCATTCCAGCACCATCATCCCCTCCTATCATGTGCTAGTAAGTGGCTTCCCAACCCTTGCTTCTCCCCTAGTGAGGGGATGACATTCTTCAGGTCTCTGGGTTATCACAGGCTGCCTGGTCACGGCGTCTTCATTAGTCACTGCA